GTTTTTGCTTCTACAGGGAGTAACCACATACTTAATCAAAACTAAGCTTGATAAAACAAATCTATTTCAAAGCACATTGTAATACACCACCTGTCTGTTTCAAGGAACCATTTTTAAGATGAACTATAAGATGTCCCTAATTCCTTCTAAAATCCAGCAGTAACATCAAAAAAATCGGTCAAGATGGATCGTGGTTGGTCAGTTTTCTATTTATATGCTTGACTATCCATCCAAAAAACTCCGAATGACAAACAAATAAAACCAAGGCATTCTATTAAACCAAATAAAACCACTTTGAGACTCAGTAAAATCAAGAAACTATCCGTCCCATACACACATGCTTGAATCCCAGTGGTAGGATTCAAATATTTTTACTACTGGTTTGTGGGTGTGGCATGGTGGGCGTGGAGGGGACAGTTAATGCAAAATCTCCATTCCCTCCCCACTCCTGGGAGAAGGTTACTACAAAATCCCATTCCTTCCCCATCCCACTAACCTGCTTTCCAGCTCTGTTCTCCTGCGCAGGGCAACAAAAGAAGATCCAGCCAATCAGCTGGGACTCGGGAGGCAGAGAATAAATGGGGGCGGGGCCAGTCAGAGGTGGGATTTGCCGGTTCTCCGAACTACTCAAAATTTCCGCTACCGGTTCTCCAGAACTGGTCAGAACCTGCTGAATACCCACCTCTACTGAATCTCCATAACTAGAACCAGTTTGATCTAGTGCTGAAGGCAGCAGGCTAGAAAATGAGAGGCTGTGAATTCAAGTGCCACCATTAAGCCATGAAACCCAGCTGAGTGACCTTGGGCCAATCATTCTTTCTCGGCCCAACCCATCTAGGGCTGTTGTGGGGAAAACAGGAGGTGGAAAGTGCGTTGGATATATTTTCTACCTTGGGTTGATTGTAAAAATAAAAAAGGTAGAATGTAAACAAACAAATAAATAACAAATGTCCCAGCCCTGGTGCCTGGGGGAAGAGACAGGTCTTCACCGCCTTCTGGAAGGACAACAGGAGTGGAGGTGTCCATATTTTTCATTATTCCATATCTGGAATACTCTACCTGATTCTGTGGTTTTTTTCCCCCAAACCCCAAAAACTTTAACCTTAGACTGTCTACTATTGACCTCACCCCTTTCCTAAGAGGTCTGTAGGGGGTGTGCATAAGCGCACCAACGTGCCTACCGTCCCTGTCCTATTGTTTCTTTTATTTTTATTTTTATTTTTTATTTTTCTTATATGTATCCATGTATTCATAACTATGTTTATACTTATACCTATTATCTTGTAAGCCAGGTGGCATCGCTCACTAACCATTCCCTCTTGGCTGGATCTGGTGGGATGGCTGGACATTAGCAGAAAAAGGCAGTTTTGCAAGTAAGCTGGTCCAGTACTCCGTAAGGCTTAAAGGGCTCTTGAACCCCAGCATTCTTCTCCCTCCTTTCCTTCCTTCCTTCCTTCCTTCCTTCCTTCCTTCCTTCCTTCCTTCCTTTTGTTGGAAGTTAAAACCCACCCCTCTCCTAGAAAAATGAAATATTTTAGGATATACTAAAAAGGCAGAATATTTTCCCTAAAAGAGAAGTAGAAACTCAGAGAGGCAGAAACTCAGCCCTCCCACCTTTGTTAATGGGCCATTAAGGCCTGGGGCAGTCTATTCTACATAACAAAGATCTACCTCCTTCAGGCAGATCCTTTTAATTGTCCTTCATTGTATCACCCACCAAGTTTCAACCGAACTTAACACACAGACAACCTACAAAGCTGGCTATGACCTCTGACAGCAACCAATCGGGATACTCTTCCTGTGCCCCAGGAAGCTCAAATCCAGAGAGGGCATAAAACCCAGGGACTCTCAGCATCTCTTCCCATTTTTCTTTGCCCAGGATCTCCAAGGCATGTGATCCTGTTCATCAATAAACCTTCTTTACAAGCAACTTCCATGAATCCAGTGTCTTTTTCCCCACTTGGAACTGAACCCAGAAGGATATTTCTTCCAATCCTTCCTTCCTTCCTTCCTTCCTTCCTTCCTTCCTTCCTTCCTTTCTTCCCATTTCTGAAATCCAACCTCAGCTTCCGCAAGCACAAGAACTCCAAAAGAATGTCTGGGATTTCCACGCGGTTTTTTTTTTTAATGCTTAAAAGGGAAAATTACTTCTCTTTATTCACCAAAGCCAGCGTGGTTCAGGTTTGTTGCTCATTAACCCACCAGGTTTGTATTAACTGCAGCAGCAGGTTCTCCATTAACCGCACAGCAGCTCCGGCTGTACCCAAATAGGTTTTGCTAGCTAGAGGATAAACTGAGTGTGGCAAGACACAAAACATTCTGCTTAAATATAGAGGGAGAAAGGAGGGCTGTTCAGCTACAAAGGACAAGCGTTCCTTTGGCATTCAGTCCCTGGCCTTCAGAAGCAAGCAGCAGGACACAGAAGGCGGCAACTAAAGTGTTCGTATTTTTTTTCCTATAGGCAATCCTCGACTTACAACTGGCCTGTTAGCGACTGTTTAAAGTTATGCCAGATCCCAGATTTTAAGGTAGTTATGACCCAGATTTGATGTTCCCATTGTACGTGTTGCAAGAAATATCCTTCTGGGTTCAGTTCCATGTGGGGAAAAAGACACTGGAAACACGGAGGCTGCTTGGAAAGATGGTTTAATGGTGGACAGGATCACATGGCTTGGAACTCCAAAGTGAAAGGGACGATCACATGTTTCAAGATGTTGGGTGAAGGAAAAGAAGGGCCGAGATGCTGAAAGTCCTTTAGTTATACACCCTCTGTTAGGCCCCACCTTAGTGTTTCCTGTTCCTGTGTAAGAAATGTATCCCATTGGCTGCCAGACTCCCAGGGGCAGGGCTCTGAGCTGGACCACATGGCTTCACCTGAGTGCTGCCTGATGCAATTTTCCCAGGCCATGTGGTGAGATGGATGGAGGCCTTTGTTATGTAGAATGCTCTGGTCTTAATGGCCCACCCATTAACAAAGTTGGGATGGGTAAGCTTCTGCCTCTCTGAGTTGAGTTTTGCTTCTGAGTTTCTACTTCTCTTTTTAAGGGAAATATTCTGCCTTTTTAATATTTCTTAGGATATTTCATTTTTCTAGAAGAGGGGTGGGTGCTAACTTCCTATATAGGAAGCCCCCAACTTCCCTACATTAAAATATTTTTTATTCTTAATATTAAAAAGAGGCAGGATAGAATATTTCCCCCAAAGGAGAAATGGAGAAAAATCTTAACAAAAGTAGAAAACAGCCTCAGTCTTCCTGCCATAGGTAAACAGCCTCAAGCAGCTTGAAGAGGCTGGTCTCTTGGAATGGTGATTTTATACCCATTCAGAAAGACTGGGCCAATCTATTCATAAGCAAACAGACTCCAAATAAGCAACACCATTAGGCAAGCCAAAACTGACAAGATTAGCTCAGAAAACCACCGAGGATTTGCATTTCTCCTTTTGCCTGTAGAGCCAGACATGACCCCTACATGACCCTGCAGGAATCTGGCAACACCAGCCATTAAAATATTAAAGGACACATCCTTACACAGGAACAGACATCTCAATCACAAAGCCCCTAGAATGTATAAAAGACCACCTATCCCAACCCCATTTTGTCAGCTACCCAGAAACATGCTGTTGTCACTGAAGTTTCTGGCATCCAAATAAACTGAGACCTTTTTTCCTTCAGCCAGCCTCCATTTTATTTCCAGCATCTTTTTCCTGGCTTGGAACCGGTCCAGATTTTTCTTCCAACACCATGTCCCTCAGTCATGTGATTGCATTTTGGGAGATGAGCAAGCAGTTCACATTTTCAGCCATTTGCAGCTTCCCACAGCCATATGACCATGATTTACAACATTTTTTTTTGCCAGAAACCATTGTTTATTTCTGGTTTCCTGCAAAAAATGGCCATTGTGGACAATGAGTTCACTTAACGACTGCCAGGTTTCTTTAATGACCATCGAAAAAAACCACAAAATCAGGCATAGTCTATTGATGACCGGAATGACTTTCGACCATAATTCTGGGCTCAGTTATGGTTGAAATTTGAGGGTTACCTGTAATTTTATAATAAATAAATATTATTAAGATGACGATGATGAAAAAGGAGAAAAAGAAACAGTAGCGGCAAACAAACCACAGCCACATTCTTTTAAGGCTGATAGATAGGATAGGATGGAATGGGATGGGACAGGATAGCAATAGCACTTAGACTTATATACCCCTTCACAGTGCTTTACTTTACAGAATCAGCCTATTGCTCCCAACAATCTGGGTCCTCATTTTACCCACCTCAGAAGGATGGAAGGCTGAGTCAATCTGGTGAGATTTGAACTGCCGAATTGCAGTCAGTCAGCAGAAGTAGCCTGCAGTACTGCATTCTAACCACTGCGCCACCGTGGCTCATTAGGTCTTCCCTAGTGCTGCCCAATTGCAAAGAGATTAGAGCTGTCTTTAGTGAAGATATGACCAAGCCATGAAGGGCAGGCATAGGCAGGAGAGTGAAGACTGAAAGAAACTCAAAACAGCCCTGCCTTGATTTTATTCCATATCAGATAGTCAAAGAGAAACTAGGACAGGTTTCGAGATTCTCTAATTGTACCCTTCATCAATCAAGTAGCATTCCTAGAATGGAGTCCATGTAATGTTTCTTGATCTGACCAACCTCAAAGGCATGATGATAGTATAATCTCCCAGCAGCCCTTGACTTCATGGAAGACTAATCTTTCCTGATCTCATCTGATCTGAATTTCTTTGCCGATGAGTAGGACTGGCAGAGTTCCCAGGATTTGGAGTCCACACCTCTTAGAGTTGCTAAGATTAAAAAATACCACCCTGTGCTGCTTCTTCCTCATTTTTTGAATCTTTCTTCTTTTTTTTTTTCTCAGCTCTCTTCATATTTTTTTTTTCAGGTTTATCTTTTATTCCGGTAAAAATCTTTAATAAATATTATAAATAAGAGTGCTTATAAACAAGTGCCACTGGCTTTTCTCTCAACAATAAATCATCATGACCAGTGGTAGGATTCAAATTGTTTTACTACCGAACCGGTAGGCACAGCTTGGGCGCAGCTTGGTGGACGTGACCCCGAAACAATGCAACCATCATAATTATGAGCCAGTTGCCAAGCATCTGAATTTTGATTGTGTGACCTTGGAGATGCTGCAATTACTATAAGTGTGAAAAACAGTGGTGGGATTCAAATTTTTTTTTACTATTGGTTCTGTGGGTGTGGCTTGGTGGGCGTGGCAGGGGGAAGGTTACTACAAAATCCCCATTCCCTCCCCACCCCACTAACCTGCTTTCCAGCTCTGTTCTCCTGTGCAGGGCAACAAAAGAAGATCCAGCCAATCAGCTGGGACTCGGGGGCAGAGAATAAATGGGGGCGGGGCCAGTCAGAGGTAATATTTGCCGGTTCTTCAAACTACTCAAAATTTCTGCTACCGGTTCTCCAGAACTGGTCAGAACCTGCTGAATTCACCACCTCTGATCATGACCTGCCTTTAGTACTGCAAATATAGGTAGTCCTTGACTTACAACAGTTCATTTAATGACCGTTCAGTTACAGTGGCACTGAACAAAGTGACTTTCAATCGTTTTTGCACACTTACGAGTGTTGCGCCATCTCCCTGGTCACACGATGAAAATTCAGATGCTTGGCAATTGATTCATGTTTATGACAGTTTGAGTCTCCTGGGCTCATGTGATCATCTTTTGTGACCTTCTGACAAGCAAAGTCAATGAGGAAGACAGATTTACTTAACAACCGTGTTACTAACTTAACAACTGCAATGATTGCAGTTGAGAGATAAAGAAGCTTCTTGCATGAGAAGCAAAACATCTTCAAAGAGAAACCAGAAAGTCCAGTTGCCTCTGTTGGAAGAAATATCCTTCTGGGTTCAGTTCCAAGTGGGGAAGAAAGACACTGGAAATATGGTGGCTGCTTGGAAAGATGGTTTAATGGTGGACAGGAACACATGCCTTGGGTGAAGAAAAAAAGGGCAGAGATGCTGAGAGTCCGCTGGTTTTACACCCTCTGTTGGGATTTGAATTTGAGCTTGTATTCTGATTGGTTGTCAGACTCCCATGGGACCATGCAGGGGCAACTCTGTAGGCTGTCCTGAGTCCCAGGCTTGGTTGCTGGATGATGATGTAATGAAAGGGCTTTGGGCAATTCCTATTATAGCACTACCTGGAGTAGATCTTTGTTATGTAAAATAGACTGGCCCAGACCAGAGTAATGGTCCATTAGCAAAGGTGGAGCTGAGTTTCCGCCTCTGAGTTTCTACTTTTCTTTTTAGGGGAAATATTCTTGTATTTTTGTATATCCTAAAATATTTCATTTTCATAGGAGAGGGAAGGGTTTTAACTTCCAACACCTCTTCAAAAAGTACCTTTGGGACAACCATGACCTGGATGACTGAGAATCTTCATAGACAACTGCAGTGATTCACTTAACAACTGTGGCCAGGAAGGTCGTAAAATGGGGCAAAATTAATTAAACAAATGTCTCACTTGGCAACAAAAACTTGAGGCTCAATTGTGGTCGTAAGTCGAGGATTCATTCTGTATGGAAGATGAACTTCACTTTAATCCACTAGAGGGCGCACTGTCGCTGCCTTACTTACATCTTACTTACATCTTCGCTGGTTGCTGGCAATATAGAGATAGAAAAAGACAATTTTCGGTTATAATAACTTTATTTGATTCCCCCCCCCCCCCCGAAAAGACAAAGAAATTACACAGCAGATAAAAAATTGAATGTGAGAATTTTGCTTTTAATCTGACTGAGCAACAGGTTTAATATTGTTAACTATTCTTGTCCTCTTTTTCTTTCCAATTAATGTTTCCCAACCTCAGGCATTTAAAGATTTGTGGATTTTAATGGAGTATTCTGGGAATTGAAATCCACATAATGGCTAAAATTGGAAAACATTGGGTTAGACTCTGAGGATTGGGACAACTAAAAAAAAAAAACCTGACGCTTCTTCCCCTTCTCTTTTTAAAATGATAATATGAACCTCTAAAATAGAGCAATCTTACTCAATCTTGACACTTTTAAGACGTGTGGACTTCAACTCCCAGAATTCCCCAGATAGCATGGAATATGATGGTAAGAGGGGGTTCCTCTAATTTATTCCTATCTCTATATTATTCTTATGTCTATGTTGTCCAAAGACGACTTTGTGGAGACCGACTGGAAAGCCAGTACTGCGCATGCGTCCTGAGGAGGCTGGGTAAGAGAATTTACAAAGGTTGCATCTTGTAAACGAGGAGCTGCAATACGCGGGGGGCGTTTGGGGAGCGGGCGTAGGCCCGTAGGGCATAAATTGGGAGGGTTGCAGAAAGATGCATGCTGGATGAAAACAAAACATTAAATTGTCACACCAAATGCCCAGGAGACTGCTCTGCACTCCGGCCTTGCAAAAAGAGGCGGGTTATAAGCTGAGGGCGAATTCTGATTTAGTAAATTTCTATTGCTCAAGTTAGGGGGTTGTTTTTTTTTGTAAATTTAGTTTTAAACTGGCTGAAATTTTGTAGCTTCACTTCACTCCTTCACATGCCATGAAATCTTGCCAAGAACTCATGAAGATTCGGGGTGGGGGGGGGAGGAGAAATGCCAAAGTCATAAGATTGGTGCCAAGAGGTTTTTTTGTTTTTTTTAACAGTCTGCAAACCTATAATACTTTTCTCTACCTTAAAGCATAGATTGAAGTGTGGCACAGAGCAGATTTCCAAGAAGCTGAAGAATCGCTACTTGTTTCAAAATTCAGAACTCCACTTTAAGTAAAAAAGTTCGTCTTGGAAGGATAATTTGATGTAAAAGTTCCCACGTTAATATAAGAAGACAAGTGTAGATAAGAAAGTATGCATGTGGAAATGCATGGGTGCAAATCTAGTCCTCCCTCCAAATACTGTCCTTGACTTACAACCATTTGTTTAGTGTCCGAAGTTACAACGGCACTAACAAAATTTTCACCAGAGGTGGTATTCAGCAGGTTCTGACCAGTTCTGGAGAACCAGTAGCAGAAATTTTGAGTAGTTTGGAGAACGGACAAATCCCACTGGCCCCGTCCCCATCTATTCTCTGCCTCCCGAGTCCCAGCTGATTGGCTGGGTCTCCTTTGGTTGCCCTGCACAGGAGAACGGAGCTGGAAAGCAGGTTAGTGGGATGGGGAGGGAATGAGGATTTTACAGTAGCCTTCCCCTGACATGGCCACCAAGCCACGCCCATAGAACCAGTAGTAAAAAAAATTGAATCCCGCCACTGTTTTTCACATGTATAATAATTGCAGCATCCCTAAGGTCACACAATCAAAATTCAGATGCTTGGCAACTGGCTCATAATTATGATGGTTGCATTGTTTCGGGGTCATGTGATCCCCTTTTGCGACCTTCTGACAAGCAAATCAATGGGGAAGCCAGGTTCACTTAACAACTATATTATTAACTTAGCAACTGCAGTGATCCATTTAGCAACTGTGGCAAGAAACATAATAAAATGGGGGCAAAACTCACTTAATAGTTATCCTGTTTAGCAACAGAAATTTTGGGCTCAATTGTGGTCCTAAGTCAGAGATTTCCAAACTTGGCAACTTTAAGACTTGTGGACTTCAACTCCCAGAATTGAATGGGAGTTGAAGTCCACAAGTCTTAAAAGTTGCCAAGTTTTGAGACCTCTGTCCTAATTTGAGGACTACCTGTAAAGCTAATAGGAGCAAACAGGCTATTCTGGGAACTGCATTTTCAGTCCTTGGTCTTTCTTCTCAAAACCTTCCAAAAAAAGTTCACTCTATTTTAAATAATTCCCCCGGGCACAGTAATTGTCTCTGTCTTTATATAAGGTTGCTTCCTACTCCACCATTTTACCTCAGTATAATGAGTCACGTAGAAAAAAAAAGGGGAGGCAGCCCACAGATTTGAGCTATGATTCCAAAGTGAGAAAATGTGACATTTGCATGGCAAAATCTAGTTTTTTTGTGTGTGGGATACACAATTAGGTAGTTAATCCTGTGGAACTGGGACTTTCAGCCAATCAGATGAAGAGCGGGGACCAAAAAAATATATTCCAAGGTGGGTGTCGGTTCAGAGTTCCTTTAGAAAAATGGGTGGCTTTATAAGTTTGCTTAATAAATAAAGTGACAAGTAAGGGCGATATCGCCCACCCACAAAACACACCCATACCTCTACCATTGTACTCTAGATGTATTTGCTGCATGATTTTTAATACAATTACAATTTTGTAACAGGCTGGAACAAATGAGTAGTAAATCAGAGCTGGTTTTAGATAATAGTCCCTCCAAATTGTGCTTGGCCTTGTCTTACTAATTCTTTTTTTATTATATTTTTTACTGCCATATTTCCCAAGAACACTTGGATGAGCCTTGTTAAAGTATTACAGTAACATTAGAAAAATGTATTTAAAGTATACTGCATCCAGTTTTGGCCTCCACAATATCAAAAACATGTTGAGACTCTAGAAAGAGTGCAGAGAAGAACAACAGAAATGATTAGGGGACTGGAAGCTAAAATATATGAAGAACATTTGCAGGAACTGGGTATGTCATGAATGAAAAGAAGGACTAGGGGTGACATAATAGCAGTGTTCCAGTATTTGAGGGGCTGCCAGAAAGAAGAGGGGGTCAAGCTATTCTCCAAAGCACCTGAAGGCAGGACAAGAAGCGATGAGAGGAGAGAAATCAAGGAGAGATCCAACCTAGAACTAAGGAGGAATTTCCTGACAGTGAGAACAATTAATCAGTGGAATGGCTTGCTTCCAGAAGTTGTGGGTCCTGCAACGCTGGGGGGGTTTCAGAAGAGATTGGACAGCCATTTGTCCGGAATGGTCTTCTGCTTGGGCAGGGGGTTGGACTAGAAGACCTCCAAGGTCCCTTCCGACTTAGTTGTTCTGTTATTCTGTTAAAAATAGCTCAGCAGTAGAATGAAAACTGATATGAATGGGTGTCCAGCAGCAGGATGCCAAGACCCAGATACTACCTTCTGAATACTACCCCTTCTGACCGGGGGCGCCTGTGGCGGCCCGAGTGCTCTGCCAGTGAAAATGGGCTCCTGAGCTCCGTTTTCAGCCGCGATTGCCTCCTGCAGGCCAGATTATAAGCACCACACAGGCCGGATCCGGCCCCCGGGCCTTGTGTTTGACACCCCTGATCTACACCTTCTCTGTTGCAGGCATTGGAGTTCCTTGGTCAGTCTAGAACAAGAGTCTTCAAAGTTGGCAAGTTTAAGACTTGTGGACTTCAACTCCCAGAATTCCTGAGCTAACAACTGGAGGAGGAATTCTGGGAGTTGAAGTCCACAAGTCTTAAAGCTGTCAAGTTTGAAGACCCCTGGTCTAGAAAGTGATTGAGCGTCATCATGTTGTTGTCTTCTTTCTTTCCATAGTTGATGGATGGAGGATGGCTCCTCTCCCAGGAGCAGAATTGGTGAAGACCCCTTTACAGTTATATCGCTACCTGCTCCGTTGTTGCAGGGTCCTTCCGGAAAAAAACCTCCAGGAACATTACAAGCACACAATCCAACAGGTATGGAGAGTGGCGTCCCTGTGGTTTTCCTTGGCCTTTTCTGAAGTTGATCTGGACCAATATTTCTCGATTTTAGCCATTTTAAGACCTTTGGACTTCAATTCCTACAATTACCCAGCTAGCATTCTGGGAGTTAAGGTCCACTGGTTTTAAATTTCCTGAGTAGCACCTGTCTACACCTTCCAATCGTAGAGAGATGGATCTGGGAAACATGCAGTGAGCTTTATGGCTGCATAGAGCTGACCCAGATTCTGGGGTAGCCCACTTTAATTGGTGGTGGTGGAGGTCATGTCCTAGCAACGGAGCCCTCTGTCTCGT